AACAACTTCTCTCATCTCTAATTCCAGACCCAGATGTCTGGAGAAGGAACCATCTCCTTCGGGCTAATAAATACAATTGATTTCCCAGGGACAACATTAAAAAGGGATAGTGAAGAACCTTATCTTTGGGGGATGCAGCAGACAGGAATTGTATGAATAAAAGGCCCTTTCTGGAGTGCTAAAAGCGGTACAATATTGCCCATAAAGATCAGTAAAGTGAAGAGCTGCATTAAATGAAGAGCAGTGACATACCTTGGCACAGGTGACGAACATCAGGCCTTTTCTGAAGACATCCAAAGCCATAATTGTTTCTAAACAGAAGGAGACAAAACAGAAATACTGAAATGGGACAACAGGAATGTGTGAGTTAATGAACCCACTGTCCTGGGGACAGGTCTGGGACACTGGGACAGGACATTCACAATCCCTGTGGAGCGAGTGGCACTCACACCCCTTCAGCTCCAAATTAAACTGATGTCGCTGCCACTGACAGGGCCAATGGGATATATCCTTTCTCCACACAACTCCCAAACCTGTTGTGATGCTGCTCAAGGGTTCCAGCCTCCACAGGAGCTCCAAGAGAAGCTGGACAAGGGAACCCCTGCCCCTCTCCCAGCCGGGTCAGCGCTGGCACCCACCTGTGTGGCCGTAGAGGATCTGGCAGTGGGACGTTGCCAACTCAAACACTTTCAGCTGGGGGCTGTTGGTGGCCACAACAATGTGAGAGTCACCAGGGCCCAGGAACTTCACATCCAGAACCTCCTCGTTGTACCCAGCGAGCTGGAATGGGAACAGTTCAGCAGGGAAAAGCTGCAGTGCTGTGATCTCGCATTTAACGCTGGGTGTAAGGATCTCTTTTACACATAAGCTGGAGCACAGGAGGGACTTCTGCCTGGGCCTGTTCTGCTTTCTGGTTCTTATGTTGGTCTCTGTGCAAAATTCCCCCCAAACAGCCCCACCAATGAAATTTCTGGTTTAGCACCAAGGAACAATTCCAGAACAGGCCGGAGACAAGGGACAGAGCTTTTACCAGGAGCAGAGCTGATCCCAAACCGTGGATAAAGGCAAAAGAAGGCTGGGGCTGTCACCTGCTTGCGGAGCTGGAGGGTTTGTGCCTCGTAGAACATGACGTTGTGCTCCAGGGACACGGTGACGAGCTCTCCCCGCGCGGGCACCCACAGGCACTGGCACAGGCTGCGCTCGCTCGGCTCCTCCCGCGGCGCGAAGGGCACGGGCTGGCTGTACACACAGCCGGCACTGGCCACCTCCCACACCCTCAGGATGCCTGCAACAGCCACGGGATACGTCCTCTGTCACAGCCAGCCTCACACAGTGACTGCCCAAGGGCTGTTATCCGAACCCTGGCACTGCCCACGGGAAAAGCTGCGCAGCTCCAGGGCAGGACTGGGCAGAGATCTGACTCCGGTGGCACGAAAAGCCACAGGGCTTCTGCAGTCTAAATCAAACTTCATTGCAGTTTGGGAATCATTTATATGTATTTATGGGTTTGAAAGTATATTTTTATGTAGATAAATGTATTTGAGTATTAAATGTTTCAGAGCACATCTGACCCGTCCTGCTCATCCCCAGCTGCCCGAGGAACCCAGGAGCAGGCTCTGCTCTCCAGCCCAAGCTTCTGCCATGCAAAGAACTCCCATCCCAGCAATCACAGCCCCCAAAAGTGGCAGTGGCACTGCCTCACCTTTGCTGCCAGCTGTGACAAAGTGCAGCCCTTGTTTCTTCACACCCAGCTGAGAGAAATCCCCCTTCTCGGGCAACAACACGGCGGCTTCCACGGTCTGCAAGAGTCAGAGAGTCACAGAGCCAGGGCTGGCCAAAAACTCTGGGAGGGCAGAGAAACCTCATTCCATAACACAGAGAACCTGAAGAGGGAGAGCTATTGTGGGACCACGACCTGGAAACTACAAAAGGATCTCAAAGGAATAAGTGAACCCCAGTTTCACCTCGTAGACGGGGACGGTTCGTTTGCTCTCCCTGCTCTCCAGGTCCCACACCATGCAGATTTTATCACGGCCAGAGCTGCAAAGGAAAAGGTGTTTCAGTGCCAAATCCATGTGCAAATCTGGCACTGTGGGAGTTCAACACCTCTCTGGAGAGGCCATGGGAAAGAACATCAGCATTCCCTGTGCCAGCAGAGTGTAATGCCAGAAACACAGACCAGGCTGATGGGGCTTGGAGCAACCTGGGCTAGTAGGAGGTGTCCCTGCCCATGGCAGGGGGTGGGACCGGATGGGTTTTAAGGTCACTTCCAACCCAAACCATTCCAGGATTCCATTCTACAGGTGCCAAGACCCTCTGGAATCACCCAGCCCTGGCAGGAGGTGAACAGGACAGAGGTCAAACCCCTGTACCCAGGTGGTACCTCAGGAGGGTGTTTCCATCTGCAAATGCCAGCGAGGTGACAGCACTGAAGTGCCCATCCAGCACAGCCACACATTTGCTGGAATTCAGGTCCCAGATGCGGATTTTGTAGTCCATGGAGGAGGAGAAGAGCTGCAGGCGGGAGATGTCTGGGTGGAACTCGACCAGGCTGGGCAGGGGGAGAGGAACAGGACAGGAATGAACCACCTGCAGTGCTGGCCTTGGCCCAGCACCTAAATAAGGACACATTTACACAGGTCAACAGGCCAGGCTGGATGGGCTTGGAGCAACCTGGATAGTGGAAGGTGTCCCTGCCCATGGCAGGGGGGAGGATGAGATGAGCTTTAAGGTCCCTTCCAACCCAGACCATTCCAGGATTCCACAAGAGATCAACTGACACGGATTTATAAGAGACTTTCTTTGTAGGATCTCATTCCTCTGCCACCCACCAGAAGACTTTACTGTTTGTCTTTGCCAGTGTTCCCGTGCTCCTGGAGCACACCAGCCAGCAAGCACAGGGATTCCATTTGGATCCCAACCAATCTGAGGACACTGGCTAGTGGTGAACATGGTGCTGCTGGTTCATGGTTGGATTCAATGATCTGAAAGGCCTTTTCCAATCTTAACAATTCTCTGATGGTATGAAAACTCTTGACCAACTGGGCTAGGGACAGTCATAGCCCTGCTCCCAAAAACCAGGAAGAAGAGCCCAGAACCTGCTTGGAGTGGGCCTTCCTATTCCATTAACTCAAGATATTCCAGGTCAGTCCCAGCACCCCACAAATGGCAGGGACTGACAGACACAACTCCTCCTTACTGTACCACTCCAGAGGATCCTTTCAGGTTGTGTGTGCAGTAGTGTTTGACCATATCCCAGACCTTAATGGTGCTGTCACAGCCACCTGGGGAAAGAAGGACACAGGGAATGAACCATGGAAGAGAGAGAGGCAGGAGTCCAACACATTCCAGAGCCAAAGGGCCCCCCAGCTTCCCCCAGTGCCCCGTACCTGTGGCCAGCAGGGTGGCTGTGGAGTCACAGGCCATGGTGGCCACGGGCAGGGGGTGCAGGGCCCGCCAGGCGCGGGCACAGCGCGGCTCCCGCCAGTGCCACTGCCGCAGGAGCAGCGCCCGGGAGCTCGTCAGCAGCACCTGGAACGGGCACAGGGACACGGTCAGGCTGGGATCGGGGCTGGATCTGTGCCAGGGCACACACACTGGGCACAGGGACACGGTCAGACTGGGATCGGGGCTGGAATTCCATCAGTGCACACACAAAGGCCACAGGGACACGGTCAGGGATGGATTGGGTTAGAATTCCTGCCAGGGCCCACACACTGGGCATGGGGACACAGTTATGGATTGGGTTGGAATTCCTGCCAGGGCCCACGCACAGGGCACAGACAGGGCAGGTGCCACAGCTCAGGCTCCTGGCACGTCCCAGTCACACCTAGGAGGGGACACAGGGAAGGGTGTGAGGAGCCTCCGTGGGGATCTCTGGAAGCACAGAGGTCATGGAATAGAATCAGGGAATCTCCTGTGCTGGAAAGGACCCACAGGGATCATCGAGGCCAACCCCGGGCACAGGGCTCCCCAAAATCCCCCCACATTCCTGGAGTATTGTCCCAACACCCCCTGCAGCAGCCCAGCCCAACCCCCTGATCCACCCAAAATAAACCTCTGATCCAAACTCACCTCGTCATCGGGGCTGAGCACAAAGGCAGTGACATCCTCCTCCTCCTCCTGGGAAGCGAAACCCCACAGTTAAACCATCCCCGGATCTCAGAGCTCCCTTCTGACACCGAGCACAGCTTGGGGACAACCCCAAACCCACCCGCCTGTGTTCTGGACCGTTCCCACCCTCCTCATTCCCGCGAGCGTCACATCCACAGTGGGAAAACCCCTCCCGGGAGCGGCCGTGCCCCTCACCTGCTGCAGGCTGTGCAGGAGCGCTCCCGTTTCCACATCGAGCACGTTCACTTTGCTCCCGCAGGGGCAGAACATGAACTTCCCATCACGGCTTATCTGGGCAAGAGGGGGTGAGAAGCAGGAACATTACAGAGCCGGGAGACGCGGCACTCCCAAACCCTCCAGAGCTGGGGTTACCTGGATTCGCCCTCCCTTGTAGAACGGCTCGATCCTCCGCGACACGGCGTAGCTGGAAGGGAAAGAGACGGGAAAGGAGCGGCCCCGTTAAACCAGGACGGCGGCGGCCGCGCAGCCCCAGCCCGGCGGCCCCTCGGTCGTCCTTTCACTCCCATCCCGGCCCTCACAGCCCCAGCCCGGCCCTCACTTGCTCTTGAAGCGCACGGGCTCCGCGGCGGCCGCGTCCGTGTCCGCCATGGCCGCGCTCCACGTGCTTCCGGCTGCCACGGGAGGCGCTTCCGGCGCGCGAGTAACGTACGGAGGGGACGCCGCCAGCGCCGCGTTTAGTGCGGAGCTCCCGATCCCTCCGGGACGGCGGGAACAGCCCGGCCCCGCCCCCGCGCCGCTTCCCAGCCATCCCGACAGTCCTCCTGCAGAGCATCCCCCCCCCCGCCCCAAGGAAGCCACTTCCCGTGTCCACCCACGGGTGAAAGCGGGATTTTTGAACGGTGGGAGAAAGAACGCAGACTTGATGCTGTCTTTTAGGCAATTCATCTTTTATTGAGCATAAAAGTCCATAAGTGAACCCTTTCCAGCTGCGACTCCTGTGTCGCCGTCCATCGCAGCCTCCCCGTGCTCCGCACGGACGCCACGGGGAAGGGACCGCCCTGGCCGCGCTCCGCACCTGTGAAGGAGAGAAAAAGCGCTCAAACAGCCGTTCCAACGCCGGCCCTCCCGGGGCACCCCAGCACGGGGCTTATGGGAACATGGGTTTTACTCCCCACACACAGCCGTGGAGAATAAGCTTAATGTTCCCGATGCTGTGGGCGCCGTTATCTCACCCGGGGCCACGGCAGACCCCGAGTGACTTTCAGACCGCGCCGGGCGCTACCGCGGACACCAGAGCGCCTTCCTAGGCCGCTCTGCACACCTCACCCGGTCTGACCCAACCCCGGCTCAGGCAACGCCATGAACAGCGCCCAGCGGCGTGATTTAAAGGCCAAAGGAGCCCATCAAGCGCACTAGTCCCAATCCCAGCCTCACCCGCCCCGGGTCTGCCGCGCAATGAGTGCGACGCGCGTGCGCACCCTTATATACGGGGAGCCGCGCACGTGCTGGCCCCGCACCCTGTATAACCAGCCGTAAGCCGCTCATTTGCCGCGTGGTGTGTTCTTTATTCAGCTTGCAGGGCTCGCACGGTAGGGCTGGGCTCTCGCGAGACTCCGCGCGCTATAAATAGCGGGCGGCGCAGCAGCGCGGCCTTCTACACTGAGACAACACGTAAGTGCGGCGGGGAGCGATGGCGGCGGGAGCGGCCCGGCCCCCCATCCGGGGCCATCCGCGCCCCCCGGGACCCACCAGGGCCAGCCTGATGCCTCACTCTCTTCCAGCAAATGGCGGACGACGCCGGTGCTGCGGGAGGACCGGGAGCGGCCCGCGGGGGCTTCCGCGGTGGATTCGGGACGGGGCTGCGGGGCCGCGGGCGCGGCCGCGGGAGGGGCCGGGGCCGAGGCCGTGGGGCCCGCGGAGGCAAAGCCGAGGACAAGGAGGTGAGTCCCGGGGCCGTCCCGGTGCTGCCGCCCCCGAGGATGGGGCAGCAGAGCCGGGGTTCGGCGGGTGATGGCAGCGGGTGATTCATGGATTTCTTTGGCAGTGGATTCCTGTCACCAAACTTGGCCGCCTGGTTAAGGATATGAAGATCAAGTCTCTTGAGGAGATTTATCTCTTCTCACTTCCCATCAAGGTGAGTTGCTGTGGATGTGGAAGTGATGGGTCATGGAGATGCTCTGAGGGCTGGAGCCAGGCTGGGAGAGCTGAGGGTGTTCACTTGGAGAAGAGAAGGCTCCAGGGAGACTTCAGAGCCCATTGCAGTGTCTAAAGGGGCTCCAGGAGAGCTGGAGAGGGATTGGGGCACGGGGTGGAGAGACAGGACAAGGGGGAATGGCTTCCCACTGCCAGAAGGCAGGGTTAGATGGGATATTGGGAAGGAATATGAAGGTGGTGAGGCCCTGGCACAGGTTGCCCAGAGAAGCTGTGGCTGCCCCATCCCTGGAAGTGTCCAAGGCCAGGCTGGACGGGCCTTGGAGCAGCCTGGGATAGTCAAGGTGTCCCTGCCCATGGGAGGGGCGGAATGAGATGAACTTTTTGGGTTCTTCTCAACCCAAACCATTCAGGATTCCATGATTCCCACGTGCTCAGTGCCTGACTCTTGCAGGAGTCGGAGATCATCGATTTTTTCCTGGGCTCATCCCTGAAGGATGAGGTGCTCAAGATCATGCCTGTGCAGAAACAGACCCGTGCTGGGCAGCGCACCCGCTTCAAGGTAACCCTGCTTCTCTGCTTCCTCGTAGTGAAACCTCCCCTCTGCTCTCTCCTGCATTATATTAGTGTCATTTCAGTTGTTCCAAATCCCATTTTCTGTAGTAACCAGTAAATATTTGGCTATAAGAGCAGTTAGTAACTTATGAAGTGTATTAGCTTTACAACCTCAGAGATATGTGCAGATATTCCTCAAAGCAGCACTGTCCCAAAAGTGGGACTGTAACACCCTTAAAAGCCCTTTCAACCAAACTATTCTGAGCCTACAAAATTAGGTTATGCTTGCACAGCAGTGTTGGGTTTTCAGGAGAAGTTTTGGGTGTAAAGAGGGAATACTGTTTGGAAATCATTAGGATTTCTGCCCAGTATGAGGCTGCAGCAGGGAACTGAATCCCAGTTCTTTAGCCTTGGCTGGTTTTGACTGAAGGATGAGCTCAGAGGGGAAAACGGGTTTCAGGAATGTGAGCTCTGGTGATCAAGGTGTGGGAGTGAGCTGTGAGTTCCTGCTGAGCACACCCATGGATTATCTTTGAGAATCCCAGTGGACTGTGCTGTGCTAAGGGAGCTCCTGCACAGCTGCCATCAAACCTTCTCTTCCAACACAGGCGTTTGTGGCTATCGGGGACTACAACGGGCACGTGGGGCTGGGCGTGAAGTGCTCCAAGGAGGTGGCCACGGCCATCCGGGGGGCCATCATCCTGGCCAAGCTGTCCATCGTGCCCGTGCGCCGTGGCTACTGGGGCAACAAGATCGGGAAGCCACACACTGTGCCCTGCAAGGTGAGGGTCCCACGGGGCTGCAGTTCCTGGGGGCTGTGCCAGGGGGTGTCCAGGAGCCTGACCCGCTGTGTCCGTGCAGGTCACCGGGCGCTGCGGCTCTGTCCTGGTGCGCCTGATCCCGGCTCCGCGCGGCACCGGGATCGTGTCCGCCCCTGTGCCCAAGAAGCTGCTGATGATGGCCGGGATTGACGACTGCTACACCTCGGCACGGGGCTGCACCGCCACCCTTGGCAACTTCGGTGAGTGTGGAGTCACTCGGAGCTCGGGGCTGTTCTTGTCCCTGATGGGGGCAGAAAACCCACCTTTCCACAGTATTTTGATCTGTGTTGAATAAAAACTGCCAGCAGGGGAGAACAAGCCAAGGCTTCTGCTGACAGGGCAGGTTCATCCTGTTGCAGGTGATCCTCGAGTTCTGTGCAATTACAGAAAGCTGGGGTTTATCCTGTGCTGGTCCTGAATCATCTCCCAATCTGCGCGATTGCACTTGTGTCCCGTAGTGTAATTGTCGTAACTGGAGAGAGAGAGAAACCCAAGTTTTGTGTGTTCACCAGAGAGACCCCGGCCGTGGTCTCCCTGTCCTTGCAAAATCTTACATTTTTGGAGCTGTGGGGTGTTTCTGGGGCTGTGGGTGGGACTGGTGAACAGGGTCTGCAGCAGTGACAGGCCGTATGTGACACCTCTCTGCAGCCAAAGCCACCTTTGATGCCATCTCCAAAACCTACAGTTACCTGACTCCCGACCTCTGGAAAGAGACTGTCTTCACCAAGTCTCCTTACCAGGTAACAGCATTTTGGCAACTTGCTCAAATCTTACCCTTCCTGCCCCTAAAATTCAGGTTCTTGTACCCAAAAAATGGGTAGTTATAATGAGACAGGTAATAGTTTAAGTCTGAGCCGACTGCCAGGTTAAGTGTGATTTTTAAGCACCTTAGTTTTGAGTAATAATTGAAAGTGGGATTCCATGGACAAAGAGTAAAGCTGTGGAATGTTAGTTAAGTTGAACTACCCCAGCCCCACCTACACACCTGGTGCAGGGGTCTAAGGGGTGGGAAGTGGTGCTGAGGAGCCTCTGAGAGTGGATTAAGGAAATAAAGCAGTGTTCATGTACTTTTTGCAGGAGTTCACTGATCATCTGGCCAAGACCCACACGAGAGTGTCAGTGCAGAGGACCCAGGCAGCTGCTGTGGCCACAACTTAAGTGGGTTTTGTACAAGAATAAAGTGATCAGTGAACAAGGACGTGTGGTTGGTGTGATGGGGGGTCGGTGCATGGGGCAGGTGTGGTAAACCATGGAATGGGTTGGAAAAGACCTGAAAGCTCATCCCGCTCCACCCCCTGCCATGGGCAGGGACACCTTCCACTGTCCCAGGTTGCTCCAAGCCCTGTCCAACCTGGCCTTGGACACTTCCAGGGGCACATCACCTTTACCCAGACTGAGGGAATTCTTGGCCAGGGCTGTGCAGAGCAGCACAGTGTTTCTGGTGGCTTATGGAGGAGAAGGACAGGTCCAGAGGGCAAATCCCAGTTCTGGCAGCCTGGGGTGCCTAAGTTTAGGGCTTTGCAAGAGCTCTTCAAAGAATGAATCCAGATCCCAATTGTAGAGATGCCTGGGCTGCACGTTTATTGTGGAGGCACCAGAGGTCAAGGATGCCACATGCACTTGGGTTCCAGCACCATGGAGTGAGGGGGAACCGTTTCAGCTCTACTCAGACGCCTTTGCTTGTGCTGCTTTCCTCTCCTCCATCATCCTGTGCTTCTGCTTCATCAGGCACGTCCGTGCATTCCCATGGTAACCCAGATCACCGTCTAGAAAGACAGGAAATGTCTGAGCAGTGCATCCCATAAGCCTGTGTTCCATGTGAAGTCTGGGATGTGTGAAACCCCCCTTTCCTAGGTTTGAGACTCCTTTCCCTGAATTTCAGACCCCCGTTCCCTGTATGCTGTTCCCATACTCACATCTGTCCTGGTAGGCCTTGGTGACCTGTTTCAGCAGCTCCACCTCCTTGGCACAGTTCTGGAACTGGTTGGGTCCTTCCCTCTGGTTGCACGCACTCAGCCTTTCCCGGACTATCTCCACGATTTCCTGATCAACCAACCTGCAGGAAAGGTGGCAATGAGTGTAACAGCAGCCAAGAGATGACAGAAAAGCTGAACCAAGAGGTGAGGATACCCTGTGGAATGTCAGCACTGGGTTTTTAAGGGTCATGGTCCCCTGTGCCACCCTGCCCAGGGACAGCAGGATTGTGAAGTGGGTAATGTGTAATGGAGTGGGCAGGAGATACAGCTCCCAGGGCTGAGTGCCCAGAGCTGTGACCTCGCCTGGGGACAGCGCAGGGACAGCCGTACCTGTCCCTCCTCCACTGACACTCGGCCTCGAAGAAGCACAGGTAGTCGCCCTCCAGGCACTCGCTCAGGTCGGGCACGCGGCGGAACTTCTGGTGATAGTAATAGGTCTTGTTCTTGGCTTGCTGCCGTTCGATCCACTCTGGGGGGACAGCCTGGTCAGACATTCCAGCCCCAGATTCTGAGGGGCAGCACAGCCCCAGCACCTGCCCCAGCCTGGTGTTGCCGTTTTGGGCAGCAGCAGGTCCATGTCTGCATCCAGCTCATGTGCCCACCTGTGTGTCCCTCTGTCTCTGCCGTGTCCCACGTCCCTGTGTCTGTCCTGTCCATGCTGTAGTCTTGTCTGTGTCCCTGTGTCCCCATGTCTCTGCACTTCTCCCATTGTCCGTACTGTTTCCTATGCCCCTGTGTCCCAGTGTCCGTGCTGTCCCCGGTGCTGCCCCTTCCCTCTGCCCGTGCTGTGTTACCGTCTGTGCCAGTGTCCCTGTGCCCTTGTGGGTCCCATCTCCCTGTCCCGGTGCCCGTGCCCTCACGCCTGTGCCCCGGTGTGCCCGTCCCGGTGTCCCCGTCCCCACGTCGCAGCCCAGC